GTAGAAGAGGGAAGGTACGCTGAGTATGTTTGCTGCCTTGAGTTATTTGTAAAAATAATGTTGGGATACAAATAAATAAATGATAAATGCAAACACTTCTTATAATATATTCATATAGTGGTAACCATCAGGAGGACTATTTCTGTGTTATCATGGCAGCTCACCCATAGTTGGCATAATGTCCCATCTATAGTTCAGCCAGAGTTGATTTAACTTGGCAGTGCAATAGTAGGTTATTCTTTACAAATTATAAAAATATTGGTCAAGTGGAGGAGAATTTAATAAAACTGCAAACAGAATTGATTGCAAAACATTTTGCAAAACATTTTGCATGTCAGAGTTCTCTTTGGGTCTCTCTCTTTTTGCTACAACATTTGCAGAGAGAAATAAAAAGGTTTAAAAAAACCCGTTGTGCTACAGTTAAGCAACTGGATGAACTACACTTGTTTGTTGTTCTCATGATTCACAGTATATTTTATTTCCTGAATGTCATATTTTATTTGTTTTAAAAAACTTATATTCTCTTCCTAGGTCACAGCACCTAATTATCTTTGAGTTTGGGAGTTAAGTAGGGCTGGATCTGGTTGACCTGGGAATTCCAGTGCTATGATTTAGATCAGGAAGTTAAAAATATTCTAGAAACAAGAAATGGCAAGCCACTTCCATACTACTGTCAAGAAAACTGCAGATATGGATGTGTCCACAAAATTAGCAGACTGAAACTCAACTTGAAGAAGAGTTTATCTTTTATCTCCCCAGAAAATATCTTGAAATAATTTACCAATCAAATTTAATACAATAATAAAAAGTATATTGAAATATAAGATATACATTAAAGTGAATTCAAGAAAAAGACAAATGTTTCTACCATTTACCCAAAGATGGGTTGAAACATCATTTTTCAGTAGATGCCTAAATTATTTAATAGTAGGTGCCTTTGAATATCAAAAGGGAAAGCATCCTAAAATGCAGGTACCACTACAGATATAGCATGTACAAAGCAAGATGCTCAATTCAACAACCTGGGTTTTGCAGTTTTGGTCCAGTTGTAGTTTCCAACTTGTTGGACATCAAGCACATTGTGGTACTCAAAGTGCAAAATGATTATTGTCTAGTAAAGGGCTAGTAACAGATGCTCCTAGTCATTAAGGTTACATGGGCCTGTGGTAAACATTGTGGGAAGGCAATGATGTTAGTTTGTTGTAGCCCAAAATCAGGAAAAACCTGGCAGTACCATTTCTAACTAACATGTTTTATTAAAAGGCATGCATTTTTGCAAGTTGTAAGCTTATTCCTTTCAGGGGAGGAGGAACTGGCTTATCTCTGTTTTGATTTTATAGCCATCAGATGTACTATCATGCTGTTTTTCTCCCAGCATGTGAGAATTAACTCTCACAATCTCTCAGAAAATCTTCAAAGAAATCAGATTTCATTTGCGATTTATTCACTTCATCACTGCATCCAGGCAATAGTTCAGGATATGATTCTGATGTTACTGAGAAGAATTGGTTGTTATCAGTGTATTGATGGCACTCTCTCAGCGGGCCTATGACCTCTCACTATATATTGTATGGTTTAATTGTGAAAATTCAATAAATAGTTGTCCTTTAGAGGTGTTGTCAACCAGAATCACTTGTGCATAGTCTCAAGGAGAAACTTTATTGTTAGTCACCTATAAGAATCTTGTCAGACTGACTACATTCTGTTGGAAACAATCAGATAATTCAGGGATTCAGGGATTCTGGTGGAGATCAGGTCTATGCATCCTTCTTCAGTTCAAGGACTCTAAACATGGCTCCCTCTTAACACTTTCCTCGAGTCTAAGTGGAGATTCTACCACATCTGTGTTTTATAAACCATACCTTATCATATAGCATATTGTGTCAACACAACTATGTTAGATTCAACAATCATCAGTAAATCAACCACTGGTTAATGCAAGGGTTCTGAAACTAGGGATCGCAAGCTTATTGGGATGGGTCATATTTTTTAATGTATTTCATGAATTAGTGTTTTTAACATGATTAAAATGGCCAAATCACTCATTTCAGCAGAGAATAACAACTGATATTGTTGATGTTTCTAACATTTGAGCCATGGTGGCACAGTGGTTAGAATGCAATATTGCAGGGTAATTGTGCTGACTGCCAGCAGTTCGGCAGTTTGATCCTGACTGGATCAAAGGTGACTCAGACTTCCATCCTTCCGAGGTTGGTAAAATGAAGATCTAGATTGTTGGGGGCAATATGCTAACTCTGTAAATTGTTTAGTGAGGGCTATAAAGCACTATGAAGCGGAATATAAGTCTAAGTGCTATTGCTATTTGATTTTAGAGTCCACTGGCTTTGCAGCACATTCACTCTTCTTATACATATAATGATGTTGTCAATGCTTGATGTATCGAGAAGTATTATTTTTCAGCCAGCTTGTGACAGAACCAATGTTGATCTCGGCTGAGAGTTAATGACTTGTCCAGGTTAAAGCAGCTGGCTTCCATGCTTGACAGAGGACCTGAGTTTTCCCACTCCTTCACTACTACTGTACACCTCATTGGCTCACACCTACTGTTACTATGTCAAACAGTTATTGATACTGACAATCCATTGTCACTGATTATTTTATTTATTTATTTATTTATTAAATTTATATACCGCCCTATTCCCAAGGGACATGTAATACAAACATAAAAACCAATTAAAATATACTAAACACTCTGGTCCTAGATAATTCAAAACCTCCCAGTTTAAAACAAAATCAAAAGCAATATAAAGGGAAAGTTAGGCCAGGCCGGCCTGCTGAAACAGAAATGTTTTGAGGGCATGGCGGAAAGTGCGCAGATCCGGGATCTTTTGTATCTCTGGGGGGAGCTCGTTCCAGATGGTGGGTGCCCCCACAGAAAAGGCTCTCCCCCTGGGGGCCGCCAGTCGACATTGTTTGGCTGACGGCACCCTGAGAAGCCCTCTCTATGGGAGCGTACTGGGTGGTGAGAGGCTATTGGTGGCAGAAGGCGGTCTTGTAAGTACCCCAGTCCTAAGCCATGGAGTGCTCTAAAGGTGGTAACCAAGACCTTGAAGTGCACCCGAAAGACCACCAGGAGCCAGTGCAGCTCGCGCAGGAGGGGAGCCACATGGGAGCGCCATGCTGCTCCCATAACTACCCGCGTGGCCGCATTCTGGACCAGCTGGAGCCTCCGGGTGCTCCTCAAGGGGAGCCCCATGTAGAGAGCATTACAGTAGTCCAGGCGTGAAGTGACGAGGGCATGAGTGACCGTATTTAACGAGTCCCGATCCAGAAAGGGACGCAACTGGCGAATCAGGCGAACCTGATAAAAAGACCTCCTGGCCACACCCGTCAAGTGTTCTTCTAAAGACAGCCGTGAGTCCAAGAGGACGCCTAAGTTGCAAACCCTCTCCGTGGGGGGCAATGACTCGTCCCCAATAGTCAGTGATGGCACCAACTGACTATATCGGGATGTCGGAAACCACAGTCACTCAGTCTTGGATGGGTTGAGCCTGAGTCTGTTCCTCCCCATCCAGATCCGTACAGCCTCCAGGCACCGGGACATCACTTCAAGGGCATCATTGGGGTGGTCCGGGGTGGAGATGTATAGCTGAGTATCATCAGCATACTGATGATACTTCACCCCAAAATCACGGATGATCTCACCCAGCGGCTTCAAATAAATGTTGAACAGAAGGGGCAAGAGAACCGATCCCTGTGGCACCCTACATACAAGGGGCCTCGGGGTCAACCTCTGCCCCCCTGTCAACATGGACTGTGACCGATCAGAAAGAAAGGAGGAGAACCACTGCAACACGGTGCCCCCCACCCCTAGCTCTTCCAACCGGTGCAGCATGATACCATGGTCGATTATAGCTAGTGGGATGTGGCTTTCCTCAGAATTAATTATGCACCACTAGTATCTCTTTTGGGCTGGCATAGCATTGTTCTTTGGCTTATCTGTAGAATGGCATATGTCAGTGACGGTCAGCTTTTATCTTTATTTGATAAAATTATATGGTTCCATTGCTGTTTTCTTTGATATAAAGATTGAAATTTAATTTCAAAGATAAATAATATATTTTTCTCTTGCTCCACAATAATGACTGAAATCAGTTTTTATTTGGAGGTGTTCATATACAAACCCTTCTATTATTTTAGGAATCAAGGAATCGGAATGTTTAAGAAGCTCTGACAATGTAACAAACAAATAAAATCTTTACAGTATCTAGTTGAGTGGACAATGCTTACTTCCACTCTGGACGCAATGAATAGGACCCTTGCAGCAGAAATTAATAAGGAGATCAAAAACCAGCATTCTTCAACTCAGCAGCAGCCCATTCCTTGAAGTGCCCCTGGGGTAGCACTTAAGTTTAAAAATAGCCTCTACTGTTGCCCCAATGCCTTAATGCTATTAACAATTGTTTCTAAGTTTAATTGCATAGAGACACTGGTGTGTGTCCGTGCATTTCCCCTAGTTTTCATTGTGGACCCTCCTCCTTGCTGGTAAAGCACTTGTCCAGAGGCAATTAGGCCCTTGAATGGAAAGAGATTTCCTTGTTCTGACATAAAACAGAATGGCAGCTGCCCTCCTATAATGGCAGCATGTCAATAGAGGTATCTTTGTTCAGCAGCGATTTACAGAGTTGAACAGGTAATGTCTTTATATGAAAGACACATTTCCTCCTCCTCCTTTGTCCCCATGTACCTACAGATTTTTAATCCAGAGCTTTAGTGACCATATTAGTCTTCTGATACTGTTGCCTCCTCAAAGTCTGATTGAATGTAATGCTGATTAATAATTCCCACAAGTATATGCAGATAAAGATGGCTATGGAATAGACTTTCCACAGGCAGCACCCATGAAAACACTGGCTAGGAATTCTGAAAGTTGCAGGCTGACTCTGCCTGGAGTTCACTAGATGAGGAAGACCCACCCAGAAATTTGATGGACAGATTTAAATAATAGCATCAGTATAAAAGTGACCAGTGATGAAATATTGGATATTTAGCCATTATTTATTTATTTATTGGTCTTTAGTAGAACATTGGAAATCAGCAATTTGCGTAGCTTCTACTTTTACTTTGGTGCCGGAGCAAGCGTATGCTGAAATAGACGCTGCCTGATTCCTGGCGGTCTTCAGATAGGATATTTGTCAGATGAAGATTCATTCATATGTCACTGGGGGGGGGGGGGATGAAAAAAGTCAGAACATTTATATCTCATCTTCAACAATTGTTTCATGCTAGCAATGTTTTACGAGCAAATTCACAAAATCTGTTTTTGATAATGTTTAGAAGATATCAAATTTGTAAGAAACATTGTCTGTTTTGCAAATTAGTTACAATAAACAGCTATCTGCATACAATCCTTCTCTTTCATTCAAATTGTATTTCAGGAAGTCGACTTAATCTCCAAAATATGCTTTCACTAAGAATTTACTTGGCACAAGATGGCAAGTATTTCTACTAATCCTAATATATTCCCTTGATTTCGTGCAGAGGTCATGGTATTGTACATCTGGAAGTACAGTTCTAACTATGACTGCAGTGTCTTGGCAACGTATGTATGTGTCTTTGTTTTCAGCATCTGTCATCACCTATACTTCTAGCAAGTTTTAACTAGTAAATATGACTTCTTTTATGAACATGCAAAATATTATGAACAGAAATTTCTTTGTGTAAGCCAGTTGAGACAAGAGAATGCATATGCAGACTGAGACTCAACATAGCCTTACCTCATTCTAAATCCAAATTTCAACCCACCAAATGATTATTTGTAAACATTATCTAGTGCATTTCTCTATATAGTCTAGATGTGTTTTACAACAAATTTTATCATCCATCATATTAGCCATAGGTGATGAGAGTCGCAATATTTGGAAAATGCCTTCTTGAAAAAGGAAGGATTTAATAAGTTTTGATACTTTGGAAACCATTTACTACAAACATATTTTCTCAAGATGGCTTCTTTTTATTTATTATTTATTAGGCACACTTCCAAACTGCTTCCGGTTAAAAAAATTGTTGTGTAGAGACAATTACAACTGGAGTGCTATATAAGCTCAGCAAAATAATGCAGCAAATTCACAAACAAAAGCATAGCAGCTTTCTTCTTTATATAGAGCGATTAAGACTGGAATAACGAAAATGTACTTAGATCTGATTGCTATGGCAACCCATTCAGCTCAATTATAATTCAACAGAGTTGGGAGTAAGCGCTAAAAGAACCTAAGTGTATAATTCAGCAATGTGTTGGGGTTTTCAAGTATTCTCCCATTTTTGTCATAAATGGCTGTTAATTGGCTCTGTAATGTTTGGGTAGGTAAAATAAATTAGAATACATTGAACAAACAGCTGATTTTATTGTGCTTTTTGATCAGTATTCTCACTCAAGAAGCTACCACCAGATTATCTGTCTTGATTAGACTATTCTGGAACAGGAAAATATGTAACCTTCAAGAATTCTTGAAACACTACCCTTAGGAGGCCTAGATAGCATAGTCAATGTGAAAAATACTAGAAGCTACAGCTGTTGAGTAGCAACATCTGAAAGACCAACAATTCTGGCACTTTACCCAGGCCTCTGACAAGAAAAAGTGAGACCCCTCACTTCATCATGCTTGCCATTTTTAATCTTTATTTTTTATGCTTTGATTATAATTTTATTTGTTTGATGATTGAGAACTACCCAGACTCATGAGATTTAAGTGGCATGCAAATTATAATAATTATAATTAATAATCTTCCAAGGTGACTCATTATCATCTTAGTAGCTGTCATTGTCATTATCCTGTTTTCAGTTATTTTGAATAAAATAAATCTTGGTTATCAAACAGCAACCATGCTAATAAAATCTCACAATTGCTTTATATTTCTTTTTATATTATAAAAAATTAGAAACTGAATTCCAGGAATTGACAAATACTGAGAACTTTACTACTGATATAGGAATGGAGTTTGGCCTAGAGGACACCCGAAATAACTGGTTGAAAAGAAGAAAGTGTGAATAATCAATGTGGCAATACCGGGGATAGTAGAATAGAAGACAAAGAATTGGAGATTATCACAAAATATCAAGATCTGAAAATGGAAAGATTATGACATAAACCAGTCATGATTTATTGACACAGTGGGCGCCATACCAAAAACTCTTAGATGGCACTTATATGCACATTGAAAAAATTTCCATCTGTCAATTACAAAAGGCCATACTGCTTGGATCCCAGTAGGGGTGTCCACAGGGATGGATGTCAGCTGTCAAAATGGCAGCTACAATCAGGCAACTAAACTTGCCCTTTTTACTTAAGCAAAACACAACAAAAAGTGCAGGCTGTGATCATTTAGACATGTTTGCCATTTGGACGGTGTTGATGTTCCTTCCATAGACACCTTTGATCCCAGCTGTACTCTTGGTTCTGATGGCCAAGCCCTTGAGTATATTCTGGTGTGCACTGATGCTTGTTGATTTGCCATTGCTAGAGTTTCATTTCCATAAGCCCACTTTCCAATCATGAGAGTAGTCGGCCTTGAGAGCAATACAGAAACCTCTTGCAGAAATCTGTTTAGCTCTCTAGTTATTTAACTCTTACTGCTAGATAAGGATAATTTCCTTTTATCAAATTTCTGTTTAGTTTTGGGACATCCAATGTTGATTTTAATGTTTAAGCGTTTGCCATGTGAGTTGCATCTGAGTCTTAAAATGTTATCATTTTTTGTTTATCATTTACTTGTGTGCTTTTGCTGCTGACACAGGTGCCTGCAGGTGGATAAAGGGAAGAGAAGAAGGGAGTGAAGTGAAGAAACATGCATCATTGTAATATAAACTCTGACCCTTATGAACCTCTGAGTATGAAGGAGCAGAGCTTGCACTGCAATACATGTTCTACCATTAGGCATCATTGTGATTAGAAATAGATGCCTAGAGCTGCTGAAGACCAATAATGGCAATGATAAAAATAATAACAATTTAACATTACTTACTCAATGGGTAACTCATTATTTTCCAGGCTTTTATACTTGTCCTCCAGCTCTCTTCTCATTTGCATCCTGAGACGGCAGAATCTTTCTTCATCGTTGTTGTCGCTGCTACTGCTGCTGCTGCTACTGCTGGAGGATCTATACTGAATGAACTTGATTACCTCGGGATCCATTTCATCCATCTCAAGGCAGAGGCAGGGGGAGCGGTAAGCCACCTTCAGTGAAGCACCCCACATTTTTTCGCACATATGAGTTCCACTGGCATACATCTAGAATTCAGAGAGACATAAATGGTCTGGTTTATAGTATCATTTACCATCAGAACCACACTGTCCTCCTTACAGCTTCCTTTACATCTAGGCTATTATGAAAAAGTAAGGCAAGATGTGGTCTGATTCAGTTGGGAGGGTGGATTGGGGAACTAGTTTATTCAGCTCATTCAGGATCCAGAGCATACACCATACCAGAAAACTCCTAATTGCTTTATTATGAGGTTAAAAAAACTGGAGCTGAAAAGAAACAAATTTTACCCAATCCTTTATGTAGAATTTTAGCCTCTCTTCTTTTCAGCTTTATAAACAGAGCTGTACCTTATATCATACCAATGTTTTTGAACTATTTAATTCATTGTTTTCATTTTGATTAGTAATTCTTTCTGAAATATGGGGCGGGCAACCTTTGATAGCCAGGAACTGCACAGTTTAAGTTCATACTACAATATTTTTGCATTTCTAGTTTCAAAATTGGGAAGCAATCGAACCAATAAAATAAAATAAATAAATAAAATAAATTGTCCAAGTGAACATGTGACATGGGGATCCTGCAGTGGCTGTAAGTGTGAGGGTCGATCATAAGTCACTTTTTTTTCCAGTGCAGTTTAACTTCAAACAGTAGCTAAATGAATGGTTTTAAGTTGAGGAATATTTGTATAGAAAGCCATGTGACACTAACATTAGGGTAGTATGTATGCCTCAGAAGTAGCTTACTGTACAATACATTACCTCACTGATTGGGATGCAGTCATTCTTACAGTGATTCTCTCCTTTTTCATCAATTTTCCAATCGGTCAACGAGTTGCTAACACAAGTGTGATCACTTTTACAAGCTTCATACCTATATGAGAAAACACAAAAGTAGAGGCCTTATCTGCATTTTTAACACCCTATGTAATGCAACATAGAATAATGTGTTTTATTTTTTAAAAAAATCAAGTCAATGCTCCTTCAGGATATGATTGGATATTATTCTTTACAAATTTACAAGGCAGTTTAAAACAAAGACATTTTCAGGACAAGGAAGGGAAGAAAAAACAATATACCTAAACCATGTGGCTTGTTACAATGATAGAATGTACAGTATGTTAAAAAAAGACGTGTAACTTTCCTAGGTGATAGCTATTAGACTAATAAGTAGGGAAGAATACTTAATGACTAGAGTTGTGGTCAAATCCAAGCTTCTAAAGAGTGATATTTTCTCCTCATCATTGCAAGGTCAACCTAGGGATGAAAATATTCTAGCCTGGAGAAGTAGCACTGGTATGGAGCTTACAAAGTGTACTTCATTGTTTCCATTTCTCATTTCTCAAAGTCTTCCAGTGGCTTTAACTATATAATTGGCAGAAAATTGGAAAGGAAGATCAAAAAAGACCACTCTGTTACTGTCATACTCTAAAGTACTACAGGTTTTGAAATAATACTTTGCAGAAACATGGTTGGTAAAGCCAGAAGTGGTATTCAGCAGGTTCTGACCAGTTCTGGAGAATCAGTAGCGGAAATTTTGAGTAGTTCAGAGAACTGGTAAATACCACCTCTGACTGGCCCCGCCCCATCTATTCTCTGCCTCCCGAGTCCCAGCTGATTGTGAGGAAATGGGGATTTTGCAGTAACCTTCCCCTGGAGTGGGGAGGGAATGAAGATTTTACAGTATCCTTCCCAGTAGTGAAATCTGAACCAGTTTACTACCAGTTCGCTGGCTGTGCATGCGCGCCATGCGCCAAACATATGCTGCACCTGCGCAGGGTGCACGAAACACGAGTTGTGTGCATGCACACGCAGTACGCACCAATGGAGTCTTGGGAAGGTAAGTAGAACAGCGCGAGGGGATGATCAACTGTGGCGCGGGTGGGAACCTTTTTAAAAACATTTTAAAAGTATTTTAAAAGTATTAAAAGTATTTTTATATTTTTTAAAGGTTAAAAAGCTCTGACGATCACAGCTGTGCCATATGATCGTCGGAACCTTTTTTTTACTTTTTTAAAGCATTTTTTTTCTACCTATTCGTTGGAACAGGTAGTAAAAAAAATGATTTTAAGAGGTTGAAAAAAAGGCTCCGACAATTACAGCTGTGCTGCGCGATCATGGGAACCTTTTTTAACCTTTTAAAAGCATTTTTTTACTACCGGCTCGGGTGAATAGGTAATAAAAAAATGCTTTAAAAAAGTAAAAAAAAGGGTCCGGCAATCGTGCGGCACAGCTGAGATCATTGGAGCCTTTTTTTTTTTTTACTTTTTTAAAGCATTTTTTACTACCTATCCACCCAAACCGGTAGTAAAAAAATGCCTAAAAAGTAAAAAAATAAGTTCCGACAATCAGCTGAGTGACGCGCTATCTTCGGAACGTTTTAAAAACTTTTTAAAGCATTTTTAACTACCGGTTCTGGAGAACCGGTAGTAAAAAAACGCTAAAGAAGTAAAAAAAAAAGTTCTAACGATCGCGCGTCGCTCAGCTGATTGTCGGAACTTTTTTTTTTTTTTACATTTTTTACTACTGGTTCAGTGAACTGGCCTGAACCAGTAGCATTTCACCCCTGATCCTTTCTCTGCCACGCCCACCAAGCCACACCCACAGAACCGGTAGTAAAAAATTTTGAATCCCACCACTGGGTAAAACGCTTCTTTGAAAGTTTTCCCCAGCCCCACTACCTCTATCTGGAGTTTATGATCGTGTGGGGTTCTGAATGAAGCCAGGAGGCCATGTTTTTGTGTTAAAAACCTGAAACAGAAAGTAGCATCACCTAAAAATTTATGATTCAGTTAAAAAAAACCTATGCTAGCCGTTCCCAAAATCTTCAATATGTCCAGTTAAATTTTTAATTTTATTTTTTGAATGTCAAGACTTTTGCCAGCACCAGCTTTCAAAAACACTTGAAAACATCAAAGGGTACAGAAGAACTTCAGGTAGACAAACAAAAATCGGTAGCTTGATCTATGGAACAAAACTGTTGCAAGACAATAATAACAATAAAAAGCCATTTCAAATTCTTTTTTTTCCTAAGGAATATCATCTTAAAATGAATGATGCATAGTATCACAACAATTGTAAATAATATTCTGTTCTGCCTTGTAAAAATCCATGTGGGTTTACTTCTCAACATTTTTTAAATGCTAAGAGAAAGTTACTGGTAAGTTAATAAGATTTTAAGAATAATGAAATTGCATTGGAAATTTTGATTTCACCCCAAAGAATGAAAAATTAAAATGTAACTTCAAACAGAATCTTTTTATTTATTTATTTTTAAAATAGCAAGAAGATCCACCTACCAGTTATCACAGAATCTTTTGCATATGGGAACAGAAGAAATAGCAGCTGGTTGTCTGGGACGAGCCCAGTAAGCAATATATGGTGAGCACCTATAAAAGCACTCTATTTTCTTCATGTAAGCTTCACACCTATTTTTATGGAAAAAATATTCACTGTTATTATAGAAAAATCTTCAATAAACCAAATGGAAAATTGCTTGGGAAGTTTAATTCAGTTGTTCCTTAGACTTGTAATTCTAAAATTATACTACAATTTTATTTAAGTAAATACTAGGTTTCATATCAAGGCTACATTAATACTTTATTAATCTCATTGATAACCCTGGGTAGCAACACCAAAGGGCTAAATAGAAAATTTATTATTTATTTATTTATAAAATTTATAGGTCACCCAACTTATCCCTTTTTTCACCTAGTTTGTCTTGCTACATTGTCTTAATTACAGATAGTCCTTGACTTAACAACCACAACTGAGCCCAAAATTTTGGTAGTTAAGCGAGACAATTAAGTGAATTTTGGCCCATTTTACCTTTCTTGCCAAAGTTGTTAAGTGAATCACTGCAGTTGTTAAATTAGTAACACAGTTGTTAAGTGAATCTAGCTTCCCCATTGACTTTGCTTGTCAGAAGGTCACAAAATGTGATCACATGACCCTGGAACACTGCAACCATCATAAAGATGAGTCAGTTGCCAAGTGTCTAAATTTTGATCATGTGACCATGGGTATACTGCAATGGTCATATACGTGAAAAATGTACAAACCAAAAGCCACTTTTTTCAGTGCCATTACAACTTTGAATGGTCACTAAATGAACTGTTGTAAGTTGAGGGCTATCTGTATTTGCCTTAATTCAGTTGCCTTAATTCAATTAATATATTATAAGTCACTTTGGGAATCTTTGGATTTTGGACAATAAAAAAATAATTATTAATATAATTCTACTTTTAGAAGAAGAAGAATAACAGCAACATCTGGAGCACCACTTGAATATTATCAACATTAACAAAATCACCATCTGTCAATTGGAAAAGGCAGCTTTTCTTGAAACAGAAACTTACATCCTGCGACAATACCTTTAAAGCCATCAAACAACATCTGCCTATCCTAGGTCCTTGGTAAAGACTCAATAGTTGGATAAAAATGTCAAATCTAGTCTAAACATCTGGCTGATTGCACAATAACCAAAACAATGTATTAAATGTATACTTATGTCACCCAATTTCCAGGGACTCTTTATGTTATGCTGTTGTTACAAACAGCAATTATGGCAGAATTATGGCAAATAACATATTCCTAGAAACATGTGGAAAATAAAAACAAAACAAAACCTACTCTGGGCTAAGATTTCCACATCTGTTCCAGAAGGTAGTATTTATTTTAACGACTGGTGAATCGGCCAGTTGTTCTGTAATGTTTGGATAGCAACAGGCGGCTGTGGGAAATTAAAAACCAAAGAATTATTACTAAAGGCTTACTTTCTAAAACAATTATAACTGTGAGGCCTCTGACCTAGTTAAATACCCACAAAAGCCAAGGTTGTTACAATTGGAATTAAGTTGTGGGGCACTTTTAGATGAAGAATTGTTTTGTTCCCCTTCTTGCAAATCCTCTTGAAAATTCAGCTTGTCTGTCTCCTAAGTCTAGGAAACTCTCAGAGGACAGACAGCTAATTAATACAGTAGTTGCTTTTTCATGCCAACATCTGAGCAAGGACAGCTTTTGCCACTATGTAATTGATTACTTATTTTGCCTGTGATTCCATACCTAAATGTGCATGTCCTTCCCGTCTTTAAAAAATCTCTCTCCTCCCTCCCTCCCTCCCTCCCTCTCTCTCTCTCCTCACCTTTCTTTATCTTGCTAAAAAGTGTTACATGACAACCTCAGCTAGGTGGCAGAGGTGGATGCCTATGGGCCCATCTGTAGTGACTATATGTCTCTGTCTCTGTGTGTGCAGCAATTTTTTAAAATTTGGAATGTAGGAGCAAGTAAGAATTGAAAGGGAATAAAATAGATATGTGAGGAATCTGTAAAACAAAGAAAAGAGAGAATTTAACAGAACTGAAAGAAGAAAGTGTGATTTTGTGACTAATGGGGAAGTGACAACATATCGGTAGTAGCTTAAAAGAACGTATTACACTTGTGTCAGAAATTATGACTTTATAGCATCTATACTGTTATGCAAATGTTGGAAAGTAGAAATTCCTATGGTGGTGATAGTTGCACAGTAAGCTCTAGTGAACCATGATAATAAAAGAACTAGGGATGAGTTTGAAAAAAATTGTGGATCATTCTTTATTCTATTAGCGACTATGAGTGGATGGGTGGGAAAAGATGATGGTACATTTGGTCTGTTTCCTCCTATCCTTTTAGGTCAATGGATATTTGGCTTTTATTCTCCAGTTGGCACTGGAATGTACCAGCTCCATGTTTACACAATGATATACCTGACAGCAGCACTGACTCCCACCTCACTCACTTTTCCTCATTGAATTACTTCTATAAAAGAAGTATGTTGAGGTGATTTGTTCTATAGAGTGGATGAATGAAGGGCTAACTGCAAAACTAGTATATGAAGGAGGTGTGAATGGGGTTACGAAAGCCACCAGTCATGGTTGGAGGGAGTCCATGAGGTACTCAGAAAAGTGAATTGAGAAGTTTAAAGAGCAAAATGCAATGTGTGAAGTGATGTATGGATATGTATGGAAGAACAATGATTTATAAGGATACAAAGTATGAAGAGACATCACGAATGATTTTAGTATAAACTTTTATCATTTTTCTTTTTCTACTTCTACTTTGACTTGAATTTCTTGGCTTATTCGTTTTTATTCTTTTCTGTGCTTTTTTATTTTAATCTTGAGAATCCTTGTACTTTGTTATTATTTCATCACAGAAGTAATCAGTTAACCCCTAGTGTGCATACATGTGGCTACATACAACACATACACACGTAATTGTATCATGACATTGAGCTCACATTAGTGGCATGAATAAATGATAAAAGTACAAAGTAATCCTTCAAGACCCCCTGTTAACAAAGGCACCAGCGCACAATCTGTTGACCTTATACAGTTTAATTTTTGACACAGTTTTGCAGCACTTACATTTGGCATATAGGGTACATTCCTGCAAGTATTTTTCTTGGGTAGGCCTTGGCTTGTGACCAGCCCCTCTCAGACATCTTTGTCTCTGTCCAGTGCTGGACATTAAGACAGCGAGGAACAGGAGCACTGAAAATCGCAACATCTTCTTTTTACTGCTATCCTTGTCAGGGATCCTGTAGGGAAGTTGACATTTCAATCATAATGGTGGTTTATGAAATGTAAGGACAACCTTAATGTGAAATGTCAGAAAATATTGCAACTAAACTCTAGTAAGTGGAACATGGTTTTCTTTCTTATCCTCCTTAAACAATTGAACTGAAAATTTATTTATTTATTCATTCATTCAATTTACATTTTCTGTTCAAATAAATGTGTAGGGAATTTTGCTACCAAAATTCTTGACTGAAGAAGAGTTCAGAGAAATTAGAAAGCTTCCAGTAAGTGTATAAAATGTGATATGATAAAATATGATCCCTATAAATTTGATTTTTTTTCTCATGGTGAATATTGTACAATTATTGTTGCTTTTGAACTGAGAATATCAGCATACCTTGTGCAACTATTTCAATTCAAGAACTTTGTTTGTGGTTTCCATATCTCAACTTTCTATAAAGAGGACAGTGTGGACAAATGAGGACCCAGTTTGTGGTGGCAATAAGCTGACTTTGTATAAATATACAAAAGTATGAAGGCTATTGCTTAACGCATTGTAAGCCGCCCTGAGTCTCCGGAGAAGGGCGGCATATACATTAAAGCAAAAAAAAAAAAAAAGTCACCCCATAACAGGCATGCAACATGTATATACACCGTATTTTTATCTCCCATCTCAGTGCTGCATCCCAGTATGCATCCTATCTCTCAGGCCACACTAATAATATAAACAAATATTAGTACCTGAGGTTGAAGCAGCTTTTGCCATTATGGGAGTGGCCAAGTAATTAATGAGAACTAATTATGTACTATACTACATTAGTATTCTGAAGTAGCAAATTGTGCCCCAGCACAAAATCTCCAACTTGAAAAGGTTTTGTGTTCACTACTTTGTTTACCATGTAATCTTTGGAGTGTATTAATAATCAACAGGGTTCTTTACCCTGTTGGCTTTCTATATTTATCTTCTCATTAGCCAGTGATGGGATTCAAATTTTTTTACTACCGGTTCTGTGGGTTTTGCTTGGTGGGTGTGGCATGGCTTGGTGGGCATGGCAGGGGAAGAGTACTGTAAAATCTCCATTCCCACCCCACTCCAGGGGAAGGATACTGTAAAATCTCCATTCCCTCCCCAATCCAGGGGAAGGTTACTGCAAAATCCCCATTTCTTCCCGTTCATTTGGGAGGCAGAGAATAGATGGGGGCGGGGCCAGTCAGAATTTTTACTTCCAGTTCTCTGAACTACTCAAAATTTCTGCTACCGGTTCTCCAGAACTGGTCAGAACCTGCTGAAACCCACCTCTGTCATTAGCAGAATATATATGCTGCTTTCCATTACCGGTATGAATCCCACCAAATGACATAGAGAAGACACAGACACTTGACTTCTTAATATCTCTTGAGGAATCGAGATATTTTTTGGGTTCCAAACTTTCAGGCCATTGTAGACTATGAAGAAGCTAATGTTATTTCACAATATAGAGCATAGAACAATAGAGTTAGAAGGGACTTCAGAAGTCTTCTAGTTCAACCCCCTGCTGAAGCAGGAGACCCTTTCAGTATACCATTTCAGTCAAATGGTTGCCCAGTCTCTTTGAAAGCCTCCAGTGTTGTTTGATTTCTCTTTAGTTGTATTGCAACAATAAAACGTTGGAAACATTTTTTTTTATCTGAGAAACTTTGACCTGGAGTAATAAACAGTGTTGCATAATTTAAAAACTTTTCTCTATTAGAGGATACTTAAAGTAGAGTAACAATTGGTGTACGTGTGGCATATCCTTTTGTTTGCTAATTTATAATGTACAAGAATACCAGAGCAAGACAACCTTTTTCCAGGTGAAGTTCAAAGGGCCAGAAAGCAATTTAACTCCAATCTCCAATCCTCCTTGACACAATAAATAAATTAAACATTATTGTTTCAAAACGTGAATTAACTCATATTTACAATAATTAACATTTGATTTTTACAGGATGTGTAATGTAGATGATTTGGTTACTGAGGAGTTAAGAAGAATTAAGCATTTCCCTTGCCAGTGCACTTAAACTACAATTCTAAATTGTTGACAAATGTTTTTTTTTTCCTGGTATGATTATTAACTCTGGTAGTTTTAGCATAATATGGATGGTAGTTACTTGAGCATTACAAACACAATATCTGTTTACTGATGGTCTCATCATCTTCAGGACATACAGTAACTTTATATATATGGTGTGTGTGTATCTGTGTGCCTTAGAGTAGGTGTTGACTCTTGGTGCCTGCCTGGACAAATCCCTTGTAGTTTTCTTGGCAAGATTTCAGAAGAGATTTGTCATTGCTTCCTCTTCCTAAGGCTGAGAGAGAATGTCACTGGCCCTAGCTGGTTTTGTGCTTTAAGGTAGAACTAGAATTTAGTCTCCCAATCCTTGGCCTTGTGCCTTAATCGCCATACCAAACTGGTTCTTGCGTCCCTGTCTTATATTAATTATACGACATCATTGCTATTTATGCATACAGTTTAGCAAACATGATAATTTATTTCCATTCACTAATTCTAAAATTAAAATAATACACTGTCATTTTATGGATTCTCTGGATTTTATATTCCTTTTGTTTTGAGGAACTGGTATTTAAACATCCCTTATCAATTTAGCTCCCTTCCACACTCTTAACTGTTTTCACTTCCCAAGTTCCTAGAAACAATTTGAGGCCAATTTGTGATTATTCTCACGTCCATCATCCTTGAAGTATTCATCAACTAACCATTTTTAAAATGTGATAAATAAAAAAAACAACGAAATGATAGAAGGCTGTAAAAATGGTATCTGATTGGTCACCTATCCCTATTCACAGTCTATTTCATTCTCTGATTAAAATATTTGTAATGCACTGGGAGAGGGAGGATGGCTTTATATTTATTAAAATAGCAGAAAATTAAAGCTTGAAGTTATGATAGGTTATTTCCAGCAGGAGTTACAGTACATTGTATAATACACTTTATAATGTAATGATAATGTGATTTACATTGAACAATAATGTAGTTATTTTTATTTAGCATGTTGTATGAACACACCTGCCATTTATTAACTATACCTTGGTAGTACAGGGGTTTAAGGCACCCTGTTATTAAGCTGATTATTAAGACCAGCTGCCTGCAATTACTGCAGGGTTCGAATCTCGCCAAGGCTCAAGGTTGACTCAGCCTTCCATCCTTTCTAAGGTAGGTAAATTGAGGACCCAGTTGTGGGGGCAATAAGCTGACTTTGTATAAATATACAAAAGGATGAAGGCTATTGCTGAGCACATTGTAAGCCGCCCTGAGTCTTCGGAGAAGGGCGGCATATAAATCAAATTAAAAAAAAAAAACCTATGGTGCAATATGTTGTACAAGTTTAGCTATTACATAAAGAAGATAGTTAATATATAGCACAGTTTCATATCTGATGCAAAGATGACTTAAAAGTAAAAATAGGCTTGATATTAAATGTGTAAATGCATTTAATGTGTTGCTTCTCTTCAAACAGTAACAACCTGGAGTGGAATGAAGAGAAAAAATACAGGAACAATGCCTCCAAGAAAAGAGACTAGCTGTTTACAGTATGTAAAAGACTAACTTAAAAAGCCATTATGATATCTACTCATTTTTCCTTCCAAAAGGGAAGTTTCCATCATAAAGTGCTGAACATCATTTTAGGTAAAAATTTGCCAAAGCAAGGATTACAGAATTAGTACTGGTAATTGTTCTAATTAATCAATTCTAAGGCAAATGAAGCCAAATGTAACCATTGATTGCTTACCTCTTTGGCTAGCCTTCTGTTCCTTTCTTTTCCCTCTGGAAAGAGACTGAGTAAAAAAAAAAGTTTCTGGTCTTTTCTGTCTATTATACCCTCTATATATATTGATTGCCAGCAAAAAACATAGTTTGCAAAGCAAAGATTCCTAGACTTTTGCAAAAGCTAACAGACTTATCTCTGGGTCATTTGCAACTGGGATGTTGACCTACCTGCTTTGTTGGATTAGAGAAAAAATTTTTACTCTAGAAACAGCCAATCAGAAACCTCTACAGAAGGCCTGAAAACTTGCAATTCATCTAATAAAATGCTACAGATAAGACATTGGAAGATATGCTCATATTCAGTTAGAGCTGGATCATTGCCCATTCACTGATTTCAACAATTAGGTGTACAGTATTGATCTTGATGCTGCAGAATTGTCTTTGAAGTATAAAGCTGCAATAGGTCCCACTTTTTCCTTCATATTTTAAAATCTCCTTTTAGTTAAGGGTATGAACTGACTCAAGGCAGCTTGGGAATCAGCTTTTCTATTAATAAAACCATAAATACTGAACTTTTAGTGGGCTGCTATGTTTGATGTGACTATGTTAGTTACGCAGATATTTGTACTTATAAAATGTCAGTTACATAATTCATTTTTTAAAAAAAAATAATCTTTCTTTACATTTTCCATTAAAAAACCCACAAAAAATAACAACACACCATATAAATAACATACAAGACAACATAACAGATAACAAATATATCTGCAAGTACATTATATTCCGAGGGAGATAGAACGACTTATCTCTCTTTATACATCAATTAGGTCTATCCGACCTCACTTTATTAATATAATATAGGTTTTCAATAAATACATAACTCAATTTTTGATACTCTAGGAATAGGACTAAAAAGGTTGGGGAGTGTCATTGTAATACATCTGGAAGATACCAGATTGGGAAAATTTAAGTTACAAACAAGCCTGTCATTTATTTTATTTAGCTATTTAGAAAATTTATATTTCTAGTTTCTTTGAATGTGGAACAAAAATATAATTATTTGCCCTCTTTTTGCTTGTTTTCAGAAAACAATTCAAAACTTTATATTAAAAGGCATAATAAATAGTACATATAAAAAAAATCACAATCCTTGAAATCAAAACTCCACACAAAGATCATTTAAAATTTTTCTATGCATTTTATAATGAATTACTAATGATCAGATAAAGTTGTAAAACAGGTAAAAATTAAGAACATCTTTGTTGTTACCACTCTGTATTTGTTATCTGTTAATGATAGGATCACCTCTTTTTGAAGAGGCAGCAATTCCACAAGGAAAGAGAAGGAAAGTACTAAATGTACAATTTTTTGTGAAGCTGGGCACCAGGTTTTTGATGGCTGATAGTGATGCAGAAAACATTGTTTCCAGGACAGAAGTCACAAATTATAATACGGTAACTGTACATTTATTAAAAAGTGTGATGTTATCTAAGCCCAAAGGTTCTAGGTTGGGTGAAAAAACAACATAAAAGTTTCTATGATGGAATTTACTTTATATTTTCCTAACAATACCAAGTAAACTGCATGCCTTGAAATTTTGTGTGTCTGCAAAGATAGATATGGTAGATAAATTATAGTGACCATTTTGTACAGAAATGGAGGCTTGTTACTAGAGAACCAAAACAGCAATACATTACAAAACTATTTTATTTTCCTTTGGTCCCCCCCCCTCCCCAAATTGCCATATATCAACTGGGGTTCACAAATTATATTATACTATTATGTGTTTTATGGTGTAACATATTGTATAAATTAGCCTGACAGTTTATGTTTTCAGTCTTTTCCTATGATTCCAATATTTTGCATATATTTTGACACAACTAATTAATCTTTATGGATGTATGTGAGATATTCCAAAATGTCTTTTATCAGTAAATGTCCCACCTCACTCATGGAAACTTCTTTCAGATAAGATATTAGCAAATATATTTGAAAACTGATCAGGTCAAACTGACCAGGACTATGTCTCCCAGACGATAAGTAGTGATTATTACTAAAGCTCTGCAAATATACAGTCAACCTTTAACAATTTTCCTGTTTTTTTAAAAAAATCTATATATTGATTTCTTTCCAGGCTGAAAACTCTTGTCATCTAATATGGAGCAAGACTGACAACTGAGAATAATGTTAAAATCAAGACCAGTCACATAATTCTTGTTAAGAGAAAATGCTATAACAAGAAATAGCAATAGCACTTAGACTTATATACCACTTTAGAGTGCTTTACAGCCTCTCTAAGGGGTTTACAGACTCAGCATATTGCCCCCAACAATTTTTACAACCTTGGAAGGATGGAAGGCTGGGTCAAGCTTGAGCAAAGGTGGTATTCAGAGGTTCTGACCAGTTCTGGAGAACTGGTAGCAGAAATTTTAAGTAGTTTGGAGAACCGATAAATGCCACCTCTGACTGGCCCCACCCCCAGCTATTCTCTGCCTCTTTAGTCCCAGCTGATTGGGAGGAAATAGAGATTTTACAGTATCCTTCCCCTGCCATGCCCACCAAGCCACGCCCACAGAACCGGTAGTAAAAAAATTTGAATCCCACCACTGACCTTGAGCCTGGTGAGATTTGAACTGCTAAATTGCAGTCAGCCAGCAGTCAGCAGAAGTAGCCTGCAGTACTGCACTCTAACCACTGCGCCACCATGGCTCATAATCAATACTGTAATAGCATTAAATAGTACAGCTGTAATATAGTGAAATGTAGTAATTGAAGAATATTTGAAAATGAAAATTTATTTAATATACAAAATAATATTACTATAATCAATTGTATTAATTTCAGTTAATGGCCATCTCCCTCCCAAATTATTTGTCCATGGATTTAAGAGACTAGGAAGGTGCTTTGTATCTCACCTGTAGTCATAGCCTAAAGGATTTTTGGCCCTATTTTCTTTTCCTAGGGAAGTATGACTGGCTTCCTGACTGGCCTGTTTAGAGGAAAATATTTTCATCTAAGTATACACATGGCAAATATTTAACCAGGTCAAAAGATGCTATCCAACAATAACTGGACAGCATATGAAATATTTTTCTAAATTGTTGTATATATAAATTATGTTTGTTATTGCTTTTATAATTTTTAAATTGTATCTTCCATTGTCATATTGTTTACTTCTATGGTTCATAGATAAAAATACTAAATGAAAGTCTAGCTAATTGTGAATAGCAGCATGCATAGTATATGTGCACTGATATTCAAAATAATATATTTTATTAATAGTGTAAATCAGGGGTGAAATCCAGGAGGATCTGACAGGTTCTGGACAACCGGTAGTGGAAATTTTGAGTAGTTCGGAGAACCGGCAAATACCACCTCTGGCTGGCCCCAGAGTGGGGTGGTAATGGAGATTTTGCAATATCCTTCCCCCTGGAGTGGGGTGGGAATGGAGATTTTGTAGTATCCTTCCCCTGCCATGCCCACCAAGCCACGCTGTCACCCACCAAACCACACCATGCCCACCAAGCCATGCCCACAAAACCGGTAGTAAAAAAATTTGGATTTCACCACTGGTGTAAATGTATGCATGTCTACTCAGATAGAAACCTAATTTTATAGTAAAAATTTCTTGGATTCTAGATATAATTTATTCATACTGAAGAGTGAAAACAAGCTGTTTATTTTATCAGTGCAATGCTGAAGCCCCAAAAGCACTTGCAACAGCTTAAAATTGGTTTATTAGTTTATAGCTGTTCCACAATTTGCTGCTCAATGTTGATGCTTAATGTTTTAAGTGATATAATAGGAAATTCTAGGGAGGAAATAATATTATATGTATTAAATCAAATTGAATTTAAATCATATTTATTTTTTATCCCGAGATCTGGCCACATTTTGGAACATGATCCTATCTTTGGACTGTTATGATTAAACAGAAGCTCTCTCTCTCTGTTCAAAATTCTTAATATTTGTTTTGCTAAGCAAAAAATGTTTTGATATCAGTGACTTCATTTGTTGTACAGACTTAACAACTGCATAAAACTCAGAAGAAAAATTTAACCTTTTATGGGACTAGCAGAAAACTATTTAAGAAAGAACTATTCAAAAATGGTGATGGTCAGTTTACTTGTGAAAGCTCTTTGTTTTGATGTGTAAGTAGCCAAACCAATTCAACAAGAAAGGCAAAACACATCATTTACTATAACATTTCCTTCAGTTGTAACATTGATGGTGTGTATCTCTGCCATGGATGCTGCTGATAACGTTTCAGTTATAATGGGCTATTCTATAAATACTCCTGTGTAAAAGAATATAGGTAGTCCTTGACTTATGACCAGATCCTTAATAAATGTTCAGTTACAATGAGCCTGAAAAAAATTATTTACAATCTGTCCCTGAAGTTATGACTTCTGTACCACATTTGTAATCATGTGATTGCATTTTGGTTGCTTGGCAACCAGCTCGCATTTACAATTGGTTGCAGCATACTGCAGTCATAGTGATTGCTTGTTATGATTTTTTTGCCATTTTCCAGCAAAAAAATTGCCCATTTGACAAAGCAGATTCACACTTATGAGCAGGTGGTTCTTTTAACACCTGGAGTGACTCACTCAATGTCATAAAAACTGTTTTGGATTGAGTCTGGTCATGTGGTTCCTTGACTCAGAACTGCAAAAACCTATGACTAAAATTATGATCCAATTGTGGTTGTAAATTTAGGACTATTTGTATCCTAAAAACTCACAGAAATCATTATTTTCTTTAGTAATGATAATTATTTCAAACAATTCATCATGCTGCTAGCATTTTTTAAAGACTTCCTGAGATTAATTGTTAGCCCTTCAAAAACAGATCGGCCAAGATTTTATTCAAAGAATTTAGAAGCTGTTGCGAGAGAGACTGGCTGGGCCAATGGGAAGAGTCAAATGGGAAATTAGTTTGGAATCTCTACGTGAGCATAAGAGAGCAAAGTCTGACTCCCTTTCAATGCCATTAAATCTTATCTAGTTTTACCCAGGTACAAACTGTCAGAGAAGATTCCCATGTAAAAAAACAAATGAACAACCCAGCTAATTGAACTCTTCATGTGTGGATCTGATTGTTGGTGCCTCAGTATAATTTCTTCACTATCT